TAATATTGTTTTCTATCAATATATTCTAGATTTTCATTTAGCTGATGCTTTTATCCAGAGAAACTTACAATTGCTTTATATGTCAGAGGTCACACGCCTCTGGAGCAACTAAGGGTTAAGTGTCTTGCTCAGAAACACAATGGTGAACGTGTCACAGTGGGGGATTGAACCGGGGTCTCTCACACTAAAGGCATGTGTCCACTGCACCATCACCCCCCCAAATAGTAGTTTGCTACTTAACCACAAGAGCCTGCATTCAAAGACTCACAGGAAGTGAGCCTCCAACCTGCAGATAGCATAGAGTTTATTTAGCTTATGATGAAAATGTGTGAGATATTAACAAGTGATGAACGTGACGTTTTTAAGATTAAAGAAGGATGTGAAATAACTGGCAATGATTGAGGACGCTAAATTACTACAATTTCCCTAATCATGATTGATTTACTGATTTATTAGATAACTGATTTATTAGATGGCTGATTTATTAAGTAAAAAGAAAGTTAAAATCTAACAGTATCAACGTGTGTTGCCTCTAACGACTGTATTACTTGTGATAGATGTATTGATTGATTGATGTATTGTAATGTGATCAGCTGTGCTTACTGATCAATTGATTCAGTTCATGATGATTTATTTCTAAGCTCACTTTAAAACTTAGTTTGGACTAAGTAGAGAGGACGTTGCAGGTATGTGGGTGAGATGGGAGCTATTTCTGAATGTCAAAAGGAAGCCATACATGGGGCCCTCTGTGAAAAGGCAGGAAGACGGACAGGCATGTATTAACCGCATGTATTAAAAGATACCTGATCACGCGTGGACTGAATGCGCACCAGAAAACATCCAATCACAGAGTACTTGACATGCTTTGTCTGAGTGAACAGTGTAGGACGTCCAATCACAAAAGGACATGTCTGCATGGACACTAGAGATCAACCAATCCCAGCAAGCGTTGAGCATCCGAAGTATACTGTCACATCCTGTCTGTTTATCTATGTAAGCTGTAGCTTTTGGTATTATAATACACATTCCTCTGTTCTTTTTCTTTCACTGGGACCTTTTTAGCTTTTGTGTAAACTGAAGTTTATTAAAGAAATTTCCTTTGGGCCTGTTGCTCAAAGGTACATTTTTATTTGCTATTCACATCACTTGTCACTGATCGATCGCTGCGTTCCATCACATCAATTAAACGCTTTTGTGGTGCAGCAGCGATCAGCTGATTTTACTCAGGGAGCCTCCGGCTGCAGCTGTGGCTGCTTCAGGTGTAGTTGGTTTGATCGGCTGGACATGCAGCCTCTCTTTTCCTCTGTTTGTGAGTCTGTAATGTAGTTAAGTGACCTGTTTAAACAGACTCCTTTCTCATTTTTTACTTGTGACTGTCCTTTTTCAGAGGTTTGCGACTCACAAATAAAAGAAAAAGCTAGGATGACCTAATTAGGATGAGGCGGATCTGATGCAATTTCCCAATACTTATTATGTAACAGTTATTTGAAACAATAACAAAAAAAAATATTGACCAGAAGAACATTAAAATAATAATAGGCTACCAATCAACTACTATGGCTTCAACAGGTGGCATTTTATGCAAGGGATCAAATGAAGTACTCTGAAGTATTGGTATCAGTATCACCTTAAGCGTACTGGTTTTGGTACTGGTATCGTAAAATTTTAAAACACCCAACATTAGTGATGATACACGAAAACTGGACGAGAAGATTTTAACACTATTTTGAAGAAACATGAAATGCTGAAATATATGAGCGGGGGTCTACAGGTCCTCCTTCAGAAATTTGGAGCATTAAACACTTAATTTCCTGCATTCTGGTGACATTTCCTTCTCCAAGTTACAGTGGAAATGTCTTTGTTTATATAAAGAAATGCAGCTGGCAGCTAAAAATTCATCAATATAAAACTATGACAAAATATAATACAGTAATCAGCAGCTTGTTTTTTGTTTGTTACTTCTATTGGACAGTGCATATTTGTTTCTTCTATATGTAAAATGCATTGCACGTTTTCCTTCCTCGGTGCAAGCTATTTTTCAATACATTTGTTCTAAAAACAAACGTTTTTAAAAAGTGATGGGGATGAAATCAGCCATTTCAAAATGTTACCAGTGTAAATGACACATATGAGTAAAAATAATCTGTGATTTGTGATGTCTGTTCAGAGAAATCTTCATGTGTATTTAAGCAGCCATCGTGCCCAAGGTACAAGACATGATAAAATACCATAAACGTTGTCATGACCCTACATGGAGAAAATGCTTACTGTACTGCAGACTGTAATAAAAGGCATGAGTCATGTTTCATTTGCAGAAACAAGGAGACAAACAAAATCAGCTTTCAAATAAATGATAGCATTTACATGGTCATTTATATAATTTCAGTAGCATTTAATCTACATTTATGTCGAACAGAGTAAGTTAGTTGTTTAAAGGCATTTAGGCCTAAAAGCAAAATAATTAAATCTTTAGAAAGTTTAATTTATGATTCTGATATTAATTTATGCTCTAACCTAAGTTCAGTCAGGACGCTCATCAATGTTTGAACGGTTTGTTGCAACTAGTGTCAGTGACCCCAAACCTTCCAGGAGTTAAAGTAGTTTTCAACAGGATTCAATAAGCGAGTCTTTGTTTTATGTCCTATTAAAGTGTCGACTGTCTGTTGCTGTGAGCCTCGTGTGTTTCTGATGTTTATCTGGTCATTATTAGAGGGCAGAACTTAATAGATAATTAAACGTGTACAAAAACATATAAACTTATAATACAGAAGGCCTCACTGATGTAAAACACAGAGTCCATTTCCTCTCATCTTGGCAGAGTCTTGTTCTGACAGCCTGGGACAGGTTAGTTATGATCCAAGCTCCGTGGGGTCTCTAATATAACTAATGTTACTGGCTGAGATAAATAAATAATAAGCCAAGATAGAGAGAAAACGAGAGAGACAGAGACGTCATGGCTCATTGTGTGGTCTAACACTTTCTCTCTCTCTCTCACAGCAGCCCTTTACTTGCCCAAGATGTTGCGATATTACCTCAAAGTTTAGTTTGAATAACCTGAAACATGCAAACAAAGACAAATTATTTAAGGACAGACCGCAATTCCACCTTTCATGGTATCAAATTAAAGTGTGATTATTTTACACACTGCTAGCCGCCAGCACACAGTAGCAAGCAGATTATCATGTGTAGTGTTCTTCTAATTGGAGGATGCATCATAAATAAACAAATACATAAACAACAGCATAACAACCAAGCAGCAGTCAGACAGAGTCTAATACAGCAGGTATCATCCTGCATTACAGTTAGGTGGCTGCCTGGTGGAGAAGTGCAGCCATCCTGTCAAAATGACACAGCATAGTTCATTTGGAAAACATTTTGTCTTTTTAATATAAATAATGCTAAATAAATACAAAATACTTTTGTGATTCAAAATTATGTTTGTTGGTAAAAGAATTAGTGACCCCCACAGGTTCATGATTTTACTGCTTCCATGGGAGTTTAGACCTGAGCACGTAACTCGAACCCTGGATTAGACGGGTCCCTGTTAAGATGTGGGCACAACAGTCTCTGATATCCGTTGCTTGTCCTACATGAGTCCCATTTTGTCCAGACAAGACCTTCAGGAGCAGCTTTAAGTCCAAGCTGGGCCTACATGGCTGTCCTGGCCCTCTTTTCTTTCCTCTGGGTGTTCACCGCACCCGCAGTGGTGCCTGGTCCGGCTGATCTGCCTGGTGATCGTCTAAGATCCGCTGCTCTTAAATCCAAAAGCCGGCTTCCTTTTCCAATAACTGTATTTCTGTCATAGGTAACACATGTTTCAGCAATAAAGCCAGAACAAAACAAGGAACAGTTTGAAAGTTTGACAGCAACAATATGATTGGCTCACAGAGGTTGTGGCAAATTCTGATTGGTTTAACTGAAAGAATGAACGCCCTCAATCTAACGACGGAGTTGGAAGCAGAAAAAAGAAAAAGAGGGGGCGGGTGAGAAATAGAGTCAGCATGAACGATGTCTTCCTGATTCAACTTCTGCTGAGCTTCAATTCTCAGGAAAAAATATCTGCAAAGATAAAATGAGGAACCAGCAGATCTCAGAGCAGTAAAATATCATCTTATCTGTGTTCTTCAGCAGCTGCTACAGTATCACCATATTGCACCATGGACATCAGGAGTCAGATTCTGGTGGGAGAGGAGTTTGACTCTTCACCTGTCTGTTCATGTGTGCTGTCAAACATCACCATGGATCCTGTCTGTTTTCTAATAAACACTATCTGAAGAAAACAAGTTGCATCATTGCAAACATTTATCTTAAGTAACAATCTTCACACCTTCAGCTTCCTCTTCTTCTTGTTTTCAGTTGGTGAAACACGTCATTGTCACAAATAGACCTGAATGAACAAAGTGTGAACTCTGACGGCTGCATCTCATGTTGCTGATCAAGAATTTGGGGTCTCTGTCAGTCACTGTGGATGAGAGAAAATTACATTTCAAAAAGTGAATATTGTAAGTTCTTGGACATCGATAAGAAATTCAGAGAGTCACTATGATGAAGTGACATCATCCTAACCACAGGAAGTAGCTGCTGCGTCTCTCTACTAAAGCACTAGTTTAGAAACTCAGACAGTTCTGAGCACGAGAACAAGAGACAGAAGAAGGAGAGACTCATGATGATTGAGTTCAAATGGATTTCTTTATTTCTTCCAGCGGTGCTTCAGTTTACAGGTAAGAATACATATATCACATATATAAATGGAAGGCACATTGTAAAAAATAACTTGATCAATATTATTAAAGATTCTTTATTAGCTACATTTGATTTAACTAAGAAAACCAAATCTGTTGTTTCTAATGTGGTGAGTTTAGTGAACTCTTGGAAACTAAGGATAAAGAAATAATCGTCACTAACTATGAACATAACAGACATTTTCTCATTTCACTTTATTTTTCATCATTTTCTCAACAGCAGCAGCTGAAAAACTTATCCCCTCCTTCACTGTCAGAGTTGGAGATGAAGTCACTTTGCCTTGTGAAAATGTGATAGACGGTCAGCAAGACTGTGAAAATACTACATGGACCTTCAAGGGTTCAGTAAGCAGATCAGCAGTAGCCCTGTTTGAACTTGGGCAGATTGGTGAAAACGCTAAATCTAAATCAGACAGACTGAGTGTTACAGAGAACTGTTCTCTGGTTATAAAGAAGGTCACAGTCGAGGATGTTGGTCGTTACAGTTGCAGACAGTACAAACAAAAAGAAGGACAACATCAAGGTCCAGACTCTCATGTTTATCTGTCTGTTATTATCAGTGAGTATTTCCATCATAATGTTTTCAGCTCAAACTGTCTTGTTAGAACAATATACTGAAACATTACAATAATTATGATCACAGTGATGAAGTTAACTTTACTCTTGTTGTCTTTCTCTCACAATATCTCCATCTTCACCAGTGACTGAACGTAAGGACGCTGATGAGGTGAAGTTAAACTGCTCTGTGTTGACGCGTGAACAGTTCTGTAGACACACAGTGAAGTGGCTGTATGAGGGTAAAGATGTGGACAAAGATAACAAAGACTTGAAGACATCACAGCCTGTCTGCTACGCCACTGTGTCTTTCCTGGATTCTCATTTTGTTAACAAATCAAAGTCTAACTTGACGTGTGAAGTGACAGATGGTTACTCTGGAAAAGTGCAGCTGTTCACCTTCAGCCCTCAGTCCTCAGGTGAGAAAACAGGTGAGAATATGCTGAGCTGTTAAAACCACCAAAACATTTGTTTATTTGATGACAGCAGATGGTAAACACGAGGTATTTATTAACTGAACAGTTTCTTGGGTTGTGTTATTTAATTCATGCAAGTGACGCAAAAACAACAACAACTGAAAATACAAAATCAACAACCAATGACACTTCACCAGAACTACAAGGTAGTAACTCATCTTTCTCTGGAGTCTCTCTGTCTTCCTGTCAGCCTCTTTCTCTCCACATACTGAACTTCATTAATCTACTTTTTATTTTATTCATTGTCTAATTATTTTTTACATGTTTCTACTTTCTGCCTTTTTGATGGCAAAACATAAAATAATCAAAGCCTCTTTAATTAAGTCACTTTCTAGAAAGACAAAACTGACCATTCATTGTATAAAACAGAAAATAGGAAGTGATCGAGAAAATTATTATTGATTATTGATTGTATCTCTCTCCTCTTTTGAAGTCTAAAGTCTGAATGTCAGAGCGACACTTGGCTGTGGAGATATTTTCTTATTCAGTCAGTCTCAGTCAAAAGTCTTCACACAACACAAAATAACAAAATAAGATGTTGTTCTCTTTCCAGATCAGAGGTGGTTCATAATTGTGTTTGTGGGAGTTGCAGCACTCTTAATAACTGTTGTTATTGTTGTTGCTCTGGTCAGATGGAAGAAAACTAAAGGTGAGAGCAACCACAGATATTATAAACAAGAAGTTTTGATGAACCTGGATTTTTATTGTTGAAGCTAAAGTCGACTCTCTTTTGTCTCTTCAGGAAAAAAACCCCAGATGGATGAAAACACTGTGAGTTTTACGGCTGAGTAATCAAATGTTTCTACAGTTATGACAGAGCTGAATCAGCTGCTCTCTGACAGAGTCATCCAAATCTAAACAGCCTTCACAGAGCCAGTGTTTGACCACATGGAAGTAGACTCTGTTTGTTTGTTGTTTTCAGGGACGGAGCTTAAACCCTGCAGTGAGTCCAGAAAGCAGTCAGGACACGGTGAGATCTCACACTACACCCAGGACAAAGTTACACTCACTGTTTTTAGATTTGTTGTTCAAAATGTAGCTCTATGAGACACACAGTGACTCTTGAATCTAAGTTGTTTCTGCAAGAGAAGAAGTGGGGAGTCTGATGATGCAGCTGGACGACACCAGAACAGACCAGAACACAATCAAGTCCACATGTTACTGAGCAGCCATTATGTTGTCTTCTCTGTGTAGGCTGATCCTGAAGATGGTGTTTCCTACGCCTCCATCAGCTACACCAGGAAGACCAACAGTAAAGGCCGGGTAAGCTGTCTGATTGGTTCTAGTGATGATGGCAGTGAATGAAAACGCTTCTCTCATTTAATGTTGTGTAATTTCTGTGTTGTGCTGTTTGTCTCTTTTCCAGGTTCTGGGTAAAGATGGTGATGATGAAGATGATGCAGTGACCTACAGCAGCGTGAAAGCTTCCTCTTCTTCTGCTGGAGCCTCAGCTGAACCCAGCGACCTCTACGCCACCGTCAACAAACCAAACAAATAAGAGACCACAGTGTAGTTACAGCTCATATCATTACAGGTCATTTACACTGAGAACTGATAAATGTTTTATTATTTGAATTATTTTATGATAATATATGGGACATTTAGCTTGATGAACTTGCTGTCAGGCACTTTAATGTGCTAGTGCTGTGTTGTAGTTAAACATGTATTAGTTTTTACTGTTATTTCTGTATCAGCTGTTATTGTTTGATATGCAGTCATTTTAACATCTATATCTCTGTTCAGGTTATTTTTTATGTTCCTGTATGAAAGTAATTAAAGCAAACTAAGAGGAAGTGGGACAACGCTCATCTTGACTGAGTCTCTTTTGAGAGTTGAATTAAACAGCTGAATGAGAGGAAAATGTGGAAACAACACAAGGTTTAATTTTTCACTGTTAATTCCAGATACTTCAGGTCAGTGTGAACTTCATACCAGCTCATGTCAGCCATCCGAGAAGGAGGTCTGTCTACATTTATAGCAACAACTGACATATGAGAGAAAATGGAAAGGACAGTCACTATGAGGAAGTGACAAATGACTAATTAGAGGAAGCAAATACAACATTTCTCTTGTGGTGGCAGGCCGGTCCGTCCCCAGGGTCCCTTCCTGCTCTTCTGCCCCCCACTGCTATTGCAGTAATAAAATGTGATGCACACTCTAACAAAACAGATTCCATTTCCACAGGAAATGCTGCAGCGGTTGCGGCTGCTCGGCTGGTGTTGCCCGAGGACTGCTGAGTGTCTGCAGCACCCGCACTCTGGGGGCGATGTCATGAGCGGCTTCCTCACAGTGACCCTCTGCTTCATACTTCATACATTTAAAATATATTACAAATACATTATTTTTCCTCATTGTTCACAGTGGACTGTTAAGTGTGTGGAGAAAACATTGAACATTGATTATTACAAATCCATAAAAACAGCGACACCTGGTGGGCCGAATAAAAAGTGTATATGCAGACAATGCAGACCTCTGCTTCCCAAACATACAAACACACAGCGCTTAGACTAGGAAAGAGATGCTGAAATCTCTGCCCAGCTACATTGCTCAAGGTATACGGCCTGCCGTAATAAAATGGCGGCTAGAAAGTAAAAATGAAAACATTACCAAAACTTATATTAACAATCGAAATAACACCAAACAGCTACATAACATAATTGTATTAACATTAAATAATATGCGTTAACAGCTATAACAAAAGATATTGCAATATCTCTTTAACTCAGTCTCTAAATTATTAAACAAAAAAGCTTTTAAAACCTCGTAATTAGCAAATTACTTAATAAAAGATCTATTAATATATAGGCTTTATATTACTTTATATCTCCCTCAACTCAACTTTATGTATTTTATTTAGTTTCTTTTATCATTCATTGTATTTTTATTGTTGTTTATGTTTTACTGTTCTGTACTTGTGTTTTATTTATCCCCGTCTGCTTAGTCTTTACATTTTTTGTATTGCCTTGTCTATTAGTGCATATAATTTTCTTGTGATGTTATTTATATTCACTGCTTGATTGTGGTTAATAAAGTTTTAAAAAATACCAAAAAACTCCTCACTACGGAAGTAACTATTGGTTTTCTTAAAAGTCGCTAGAAATTGCTAAATGTCTTCATCACCTAACTTGCATAGTTGGTCATATGCATGTAATTGTGATGGACGCTGTAGGATAAATGAATAACGTCATGGGAAAGAAAAGTGGATATGAATATGTTTAGAACTACAACCATGTAGTTGCACATGCGTGTGTCATCTGTGGTCTCTGACTGCAGCTGGGAGGGACGGCTAACTTATACTCCTGCGTAGGGTCTACGTGCGTACCTACGCCGTAGGCTACGCTCGTAGACATGCATTTATACTTGATTCACTGTGTTACAGCCACCGTTTGGCTGCTAATAAATGTTACTTCAAAGTGCGGGATACTTCCAGCTGGCTCGGAGGCATTGCGAGGCTACCCAGCCGACCAATCACAGAGCTTACGGTCCACGTCGACTCGACGTGTAGTTACATTTTTGAGGAGGTGCAAGTCAGGCGACGGCATAGCCTCTGCGTAGCACCGTAGCCTACGCCGTCACCTACGCCGACACCTACGCCGACACCTACGCCGTCGATTTGATGCAGAAGTATAAATTACACTTTGGTGAGGACTCATGGGTGCTTTGGGACGGAGGAAGTGCCCCCGGCAGCTCTCGCTGCTCATTGAGAGGAGTAAGAACGATACGTGCTTTGATGTCAGAGTCTCCAAAAGTATCCATAACACCAGATAAAGTGGCTAGAGTTGTCGCTAGTAGATTCTTTGAAAAAGACGGGTCAGAAAACTTATGAAAAATAACAAATAACAGATAAAACTGCAAGTATGTTTTTACATTTGCTAGATTTAAACTGATCAGCCATAACATTATGACCACCTGCCTAATAATGTGCAGGTACCCTTTTTGCCGCTAAAGCCTTGACCTGTCCAGACAAGGACTCCACTAGACCTTCTAAGGTGTACTCTGGCATCTGGCCCCAAGACATTAGCAGCAGATCCATTAAGTCCAGTAAGCTGTGTGGTGGGGCCTCCATGGATTGGACTTGGCCAAACAGGACAAGCCACAGATGCTCGGTTGGACTGATATCTGGAGAATTTGAACTCATTGTTTGCTTCAAACCATTCTTGAATCATTTTTGCTTTGTGGTGAATTATCCTGCTGAAAGACGCCACTGCCATCAGATAATCCTGTTTCCATGAAAGGGTGTACATGGTTTGATGATGCCCCAGGTCATCATCAGAGGGTCAAACCTCCAGAGCTCTGCTGCTGTTGTTGACCACATTCTCACAGAAACACTTCCTTTTAAATCTCTGAACAAAAATAACTGCAAAGATAAAATGAGGAACCAGCAGATCTCAGAGCAGTAAAATATCATCTTATCTGTGTTCTTCAGCAGCTGCTACAGTATCACCATATTGCACCATGGACATCAGGAGTCAGATTCTGGTGGGAGAGGAGTTTGACTCTTCACCTGTCTGTTCATGTGTGCTGTCAAACATCACCATGGATCCTGTCTGTTTTCTAATAAACACTATCTGAAGAAAACAAGTTGCATCATTGCAAACATTTATTGTAACTAGCAATCTTCACACCTTCAACCTCTTCTTCTTTTCAGGAGGTGACCAAAGTGCACAACTGGACACAGTTTACACTTGCCGAGTAATGACGTAATGACGGTAAAACAAAAGTGGCTAAAATGTTGCATTTAAAGCAGAAACAAAATGTCTGATCTGAGAGGCCACACATGCACCTGATGAAATCAATCAAAGGTAAAATGGACTGCATCAGGTCATTCAGCTCATCATAGAGAGCTACTGTGGTCTAGTCTGTGTCTGGCAACTCGTCTGAAAACACATCAGTGACTCATGTCCTTCAACTCCACATGAACCACAGCTTCCTCCTCTGCTGCATCTTTAGAGAAATTTGTGTGTGTGTGTGTGTGTGTGTGTGTGTGGGGGGGGGGGGGGGGTACTTGTGCCTTTTTCTTTCCACTTCAAGCACTGATCAATTATTTTGAACTGAAGAGGAAGTGTTTTCATGAGAATGTGGTTAACAACAGCAGCAGAGCTCTGGAGATTTTACCCTCTAATGATAACCAGATAAACATCAGAAACACATGAGATTTTCTTCAGGTCTTGTACCTGTTACCATTTTCCTTCAAGCGGGTCAGTCTTGTACTTATAGTCCATGTTTGTCCTACTGACGAGAATACTGTAAACTTTGAGAGAACCACTGCATCTCTCTAAAAATACATTTGTATGTTGTCCACAAGCAGCAGGGTGCCTCGCTCTCTCTCTCTCCCTAGTTTATTCTCCCTATTCTCTCTTTTCGCTCAGTCTTCTCTGTGCTGGACCATTGACTGTCCTGGGACTTCTCTCTCTCTCTCTCTCTCTCTCTCTCTCTCCTGGCTGTCGTTACCTCATTCCAGATGTTTTGAATCTGGATCTATGTCCTCATGAAATTCGTCCTCTCCTCTCCTTTCTCTCTCTCTCTCTCAGTTCATTTTTGTTTACTTATCTGTGTGAATGGTGTGCCTGAGTTCTACCTCTCTACAGGTCTCCATTTTGGAGATGACATCGTGTGGCGACACAAGCCACGAGCACAGTAATACAACAAACAAACGGATGTTTAGAGAGAGGCAGTGGTTGTCATTTTTCTCATCAGTAGGACAAACATGGACTTTAAGGACGAGGCCGACCCGCAGGAAGGATAATGGTAACAGGGACAAGGCCTGAAGAA